CCCCACAGCCTGTAGGACAGGTCTGAGATGAGGAAAAGGGGCTCAGGGGTCCTAGGAGACTGACTGAGATCCTCCCACCTGTGGGTATGGAGCTGGGCACCTAGCCGTGAGCCCTCGTCTTTTCTGGAGCCACAGTCCGGGGCGCCTGGCCAAAGCGCAGATGTTCCCTAGCTCACCCCTGGGTGCTGTCATCGGTGGGCACCAGCGAGAGAGGAGGTAGAGTCTATGAGGAAGACAGGAAAGAGGAAAACGTTCTTCTTCATCCTGGGGGTCTAGGGCAGTATTCTTCCCAGCTAGCCAAAGAGTATTCTTTCCAACTAACCCCCACCCCATCACCCTCCCTGCTTCAGTTAGAGAGGGGCAGGGAGGGACAGGGAGGACAGGTCCTCAGTACCGGGGGCCCCAGGAACAGGTAGGGGAGGATGCACTGGCCAGGCAGCTGACTCGGGTCATTCAAAGGCCCCAGTGTCTGCACTGACATCATCAGCGCCCTGAAGGGATGTGCTGTCTTCGCACAGTCTTCTCTGGCTCTCACGACAACAGACGAGGGGGTGGGGAGGGGCCAGAGGCCCCTGCTCCCCCTCCATGCATCCCTCCCAGTCACTGGGCTGGAAACATGAGCTAAGCAGTCAACAGTTCCTCGAATTGTGTTACAGCCGTGGCCTGCCAGCCCCAGAGCTAATAATATGAACAGATGTGGGTCACGCAACTCCATCCTGTGGCCTGAATCCTGCCTGACTCCGTGACCCCAGGCTGGCAGTGAGGGGGGGTTCCAGTCCTGGGGTCCTGTGGGTGAGGCTGGGTCCAGGAGGGACCTGTTTGCTCCAAGCCCACCCCTTCCGGCTAGCAGCCCATAGACAACATGGTTGACAGAGGTGACGTTAAGGACTAAATTGGTGAATTCTGTAGGATGATAATTATAATAAAACAACTTTAAATGATACAAATGAAAATTGCTTCTTTATGTGTAATTTTAAAATCATAACAAAACATTGAAATGATACTATCCTTTGAAGCTGAGGCTGAAGCCTGGTCTCAGGATCTTGTGCCCAGTGCTTCAGTGATGAGAAGGCCCGGGGGACAGGCCCAGAGCTGTGCAGAGCGAAGTGGCCCTGAGCACGGCCTGTAACCGCCCGAAGCCTGGCGCTCGCAGCCTGCGCACCACCCCAGTAGTTGCTGCCCGTGTGCTCCCTGCAGTCAGTCTAGTGGTGGTAGTGGGAGGTCGTCTGACCTGCGGGGTCCAGGATGCTGCCCTCAGGACCCAGGGCCACAGGTAGCAAACCTGCCAGCAGTGACCCTGAGGCCTGTGGCCAGGGCAGCACTGGGGCAGCCAAGGGACAGACCTGGGTCTGAGTCCAGGAGGGGTGGTGCCACCTGGCAGAGGCCTGAGTGCTGGAGAGAGTATCCTCTTGGACACGTCAGGGGTGGTGACTGCCGGGCCAGGGACCAGAGGTTCCCTTGAGGATGAGCAGTTTACGATTGTCATACTAGCCCTGGTACACGTCTCCTCACTCAGAGAGAGAGAGAAGACATGGGCATTTTCAGCAGGACTCTGCCTCCCCCACAAGGTCGGGAAAAGGCCCCACTCAGTGTGTCCTTACCCGAAAGAGATGGTGCCTCCTCCCACTGCCCAGCTGGATGCCCCACATGGGCACCCCTCACTTGAGCCCTCTGAGGTCTGGGAGGAGTGTCCCTGGTCATGTGTGCGAGTTTATGGCTACAAAACTCTCTACAGGGCTACCCTGGGCAGGGTTGGGGAGGCAGAGAAAGCTGCAGAGGGACAGCCACAGTGGCTATCAGAAAGGTGGTCGGGTAGGCACCCTTCTGCCTTCAGCAGTGTTCATGGAGGCCCCACTGTGACGGCCTTGGGCTGTAGCACTGAACAAGACAGACAGGCGGGCCCCAGGCAGCCCCTGGCTTTCCAGGGTGTGAAGCCTTCATGTAAGAACTGCACAGCATCACAGGGCTGGAGGCAGGGCCAGGCGGAGGCTGTGGGAACGCGCAGGCCTCCGGAGGAGATGGGGCGGAGGAGCAGCAGGCCGCTGCTGGCAGAGGGAACTGGGGCAACGTGTCGGGAAAGGGTGGGTGGAGGAGGCTCTGGCGGGCAGTGGGGTCAGCGCACGAGGGCCCTGCCAGCCACCTGGAGCCAGGAAAAGGGCCTCACTGTATCTCTCTGGCCTCCACTTTCTCCATCTGTAAAAAGAGATCACCAACATCCTCTGTGCTGCTCAGACATCTGTCTCTTGGGCCTCTCACTTTGTCCATCAGAAAAAATGGCAACAATCCAGATAAGGAAGTGGAGCTGCTGGCTGGACTCCCTGACGGCTCTGAGCCTGACCACTCGCTCTTACCAGCACCAACTCCACTGGGGAACTGCCCCTCCCTCAGCTATAAAACACAGGGCTGAGCTCCCCCGGCCTTTGTTCAGACCAAATCATCCAAGGGGAATGGGAAAAAGGGGGCCAAGGTGTGGTGGGTCAGACTTCCCACTCTCCTCCCAAACAAACCCCCAACTCTTGGGCTCTGGGAAGACTGCTTGGCCATGGGGGTCCTAGAGAGTGCCTCCCTCATACCCCTCGTCTTGTCTGGGCCCTGGACCTTTATTTCCTACAGAAATGGGTGTGAGGCTGTGGAAGCGACAGGAGGCCTAGGCCCTGTTCCTGGGGAAACACCCCTCTATGGGAACCTGGGGGGAGGGGATGATGGGGTGAATGCTGCTCCTGGCCTCCAGCCTTGCCAGTCCCCTCTGCCCACTCCCCGCCACGGGGACATGTAGCCTTACAGGATTACTTGTTCTGGTCAGCCTCCCTGAGCACAGGAGTTCTTGTTCATTCATTCTCAGTGAGTTCTTTCTTTGCCCATGGCCACTGGGTGTGACTGGCAAGGTGACAATTATAGATTGGTGACCTGGCCCATGTATTGTTCCCTGAATGCAGTCACTTCCGTACTTTCCCAGCTCCAGGACTCTGCTCACACTGTCCGCTCTGGCCAGAGTACCCACTCCACCCCCAGCCCTGACCTCACTCCCACCTCCTTCACAGATGCCAGTTCCCTTATCAAGTTCCCAGCCAGAGCTGCTCCACCTGAGTACCTGCCAGCTCCCACGTCTGTTTGTATCCGTCCTCTGGGCCCTGGGCTCTGTTGAACTCTGGCTTCTTCCCCGCCTAGTAACTCCTCCAGGGCAGTCCATGTCTTAGTCACCTTTGTGGTTTTAATACTTGGAATGGGACTTGACACTTAGTTGGTGGGTTAATCTTTGTTGATTGAAGACAGTAGAGCGTCCTATGTACCAGACACTGTGCACTATCTATGTGATAACTCCTTTTTTCATCACAATAACCCAGTGAGGCAGGTGGTCTTGTTACTCCCATTCTGCAGATAAGGACACAGGCTGAGGGAGGCTAAGTGACAGGCCTGAGGTCGGTCAGTGCATGGACCCAGCCCCGCCGGCGGGGCTGCAGAGTCCACGACACCCAGCTGATGTATGCTGCCTTTGGAAGTGATGCCAACTCAGGGAGGTTGCCCTGCACACCTGGGTGGGACACCTTGGTCATTGCTGAGAGTGCACCTGCTTCTGCCGGCAGCTCGTCCCCAGCTCAAGCCTGTAGGTTAGGTCCCCTTTTGCTCACTGTGGCCTTTCTTCCCTTTGGAACTCAGGTCTCCACCACTCCACTTGGCAGAAACAGGTTTGATTCCCTTGAGAACAGAGCTGGGTTCAGCAAATGTTTGCAGAATGATTGCTTTGCTCCCCCTCCCCCCAAGATATACACAGCTTCAGAAAGACCCTTGGTCAGGCCTTCCCTCCCCCAAGCCGGTTTCCTGCTCTGGAACAGACTTGCTGGACTCACATGGTGTGACATCTGTGAAGTACTCTGAGTTGCTCCAGAACTGACGCTGTGTCCCAGTCTATTTACCTGAGTCCTGATGCTGCTGTTTGTGTCCCCTAGAAAGCCAGGTGACTTTGCCTGGGCAAGTCGGGGTGGGGATGAGGTTACAGTTGGGCTGGGATGCCAGCACCTTGCTCCTTGGACCAGTTCCCTTTTTGAGACCTGGGTGCAGCCTGGAATGAGGAGATAAGCTGGCAGACCCCAGGAGCTTGGGTGGACTAGAGATTTTGCCACCTGACAGTGGGTGGGGACACTTGTCAAAGGCTCTTTTTTGCAGCAAACAGTTGGAGTCTGTCCCGCCCTTTCTGGCGTGCGGAGCCGCAAGCTGAGGGCAGGGGGATGGGTTGGGTAAGTGGGGGCGGCCGGACCGCCCCTGCCAACTGCAGTTAACAAGTGGCAGCTCGCAGACCAGGCAGGGCAGGCTGCGGTGACCCGGGTGGGGCAGCCAATGAGCTCCCAGGCCGCAGTGGCACCACCAGGCAGCCTGCCTGCCTTTGGCTGGAGCGGCAGCGGGAGGGGCCTCAGGCCGCCAGTCAGGGCTGCAGGGCCCTGTTTCCAGGAGGCCCCGGGCAGATCTGCCGGCCCATTCATGGGAAGTCCCACCGGCGCTGCCTCATTTTTAACTTTTCCAACCTTCTGGGGGAGGAGGGCAGGCTGTGGGGGCGGTGTGGGAAAGATGGCCGGAAAGACTGTGCAGCCAGAGATGGAAAGAAACTCGGAGAACTTTTCCTTGGCCCTGTGTCCGGACTGGGCTAGAGCCTCGGGCTGGGGAGGAGGGATATTCGGAACCGGCTGGCTCACAGCAGGCCTGACGGGATAGAAGAGGTGGAGGGGGCAGGGGCAGGGGCAGGGGCAAGCAGAGGTTGAGACCATGTCCCAGTTGTCACCCTAGAGCTGGCATGGGGATCCCAGGGGCCTGGCTTGAGTCCCTTACCCTCTGCCTGGATGGAGTCAGCCCTGGAACACTGATGACCTTAGGCTGTCAGCTGGGGCAAAGGGTGAGGGGGACACTCAGGCTCCTCACCAAAAACTCCTTGTGGGATCTCAGTAGCAACAGGTGCTGGTGCCTCCCCACATTAGCCCCCTTGCTCAATGCAGACCCACCACAGCCAGTCACATAATAAACATATATTTATAGATGTACAATTTCAGAATTCTTTCAAGAAATACAGCTTCTCGGGGGATCCTTTAGGACCTGTTCTTATTGCACATGGCTTAGCTCGTCTAGGGACATCTCCCGAGACCAGCCATCAGGACACTGTGGGCAGAGCACCAGGGCCACTGTGCTGGGACACTCTTGCCCATGTCCAGTTCTCAACATCTCTCTGGGCCGGGGTGGCTGTTTCATCACAGGGCAGGATCTTGTTCAAAAACCAGAACTGACATTTCTTTACCAAGCTTCCTTTTCCAGCAAGAATTCTATTTGTTTGGGGACTTTAAAAACCGAGCCAGGAGAAACTGGGAAGACGGCTCACACCGCCTAGCCGGCAGCTTGGGAAGTAAGGCTGTGGAAGATGGCAGGCTCGACACACCCACCGCCAGAGGAAAATTTGGGGGAAAAAAACGGTAATTCCAAAAAACCCAGTTGAAACTGGGAATAAACAAAATCCTCCCTTCCCGTGGCAGCAACTGCTGTTTTGAGAAAAACCCTTATATGAAGGTGAGGATAAGAAACCCTCTGGTTCAGCTGCATCCTCGTCCAAGTGCAGGAGAAGGCTGGGTGGCACCATGTCCAGGGAGTGCAGAGGCAGAGGTGCCCACAGGCACCGGCTTTCTTCAGGAGTTGGCTGTTGCCCTGGGGTCCTGGGTACCAGTGGGCTGACTCTTGGAGGAAGAGCCTTCTGGAGTCCTTGGTGCACGACTCGGGAAAAACCAGTGGCGACCATGGAGCTGTGCCCTGTGGCACCTATAAGGCAAAACTCACTAAGGGGGGAGGTGGCTAGGCAGAACCTGGCTCCTCTTCCACCGGGCTGTTCTCTGTGGCAGGGGGTCAGAGGGCTCCGGGCACCAGGACAAAGAGCCCATCTGAGCTGGCCGAAGCTTGAGGTGGGTGATCTCACCCCAGAAGGCTACCTGGGGCCTCTACCATGACTCAATACTGACATGGCACCTGGCCCTAAGGGCACTTTCTCCCCTTCAGCTTAACCATAAACCTGGCAACTTTCAAGTTTTCTACAGATTTACACGGTCATGACTGCTGTTGCCATCCAAACCAGGCGGGGGTTGAGGGGAATGTTAAAAGCTATGGCCGACTTTCCTTATGTTGTCAGCTATGGCTAATGTCTAGCCTTTGAAGGACCAGGCTGCCATACCCAAACAGTCCGTTTTCTAAAACGGAAGAAATCAGCCAATCAATTCACCAAATCCCTGCATAGTTCAAAAAGTAGATTATATATCTATATATATCTTTATATATGCTATTTACATATAAATAGATATATATACATATACATGCATCTATAAATTACATTCTCTGGAAAGTTCTTTCCTCCTTTCTATCCTTGACCTATGCCTCTGACCACCGGATTCCACTGAGAGGTGACTGGTGGTAGCTTCTGGGAGGGGGAAGAAAGGCAGTGGGGAGTCCCCTCCCCCAGCCCTTCCCACAGACATTTGCTGCAAGTTTTACATTCTGCTTTCGTTGCCATGGTTTCTGTATCCTAGGAGAGAGCCAATGTGGAGCCTGAGCCTCTGCCAGCCCTGGGAGGAAGGGAAGCAGCCGGTGGCAGGTTTTCCTGTCTGTCCTAAGAGCTTTCTGCACTGACTGGGTGAGAGAGAGGACAGCTGTGCGGCGTTCGGCCTCCAATCCATTTTAATGTTTTGTTTTTCTCCTTTTTATGTCTTTCCTTAAATATACAGTCCATCACCTTGGCTCAGTGCATGTCACCAAAAATTCTCCAGGGATTTCATGGTCTGGGGAGGAGAGTGGAGCAGTTAGCTTGGCAGTCGAGTCTCGAGCTTAGCCCACATGAACAAGCAACCCTCCCTGCCACAGTCCTGCCCACCTGAGCTTTGCCCATTTGCCCACCTGCAGCCTGCTCCACTCTCCTGGAGGCGCAAGTAAACAGCCTCAAAGCAGAGAGTCTGTACCCGGATCCCTGCTGTGGGGACACAGGCAGAGGGATGGACTGGGCACTAACATGAAAAATAACCTTTCCTGGCCCTGCCCACACTCCTCTGGGCTTGGTCCAAGTTGTCCCCTCTGGCTAGTGCTGGAAGCAGAGCCCACTACTTACACATAGGGGTAAAGGAGGCAAGTAACTGATACAAGCAACTCCCCCCCCGCCCTTGTGCTGAGGGCACTGCAGTTGACCCTGAACTCATGACCTTCTGTTCCCTTCCTCAGACCACAGGTGAGATGCCTGTGGCTTCCAGGCTGTAGGTTCAGTAGCATGAGAGACAGTGAGAGACAGACAGAGACAAAAGAGAGAGAGACACAGCCAGCCAGCCAGCCTCTGATCCCACAAGAGGGAGCAGTCAGGGTGCACAGACCTCTCCTGTCCCCAACCTGTTGGCTCCCTCCCCTGCCCTTTGTTGGGCTCCCATCTTGTTCCATGGCCTATGCTCAGAAGAGCAGAGGAAGAGGAGGGCTCTTGGCCCAACCGTTCCCACGTGGTCCTCCCTGTGTGGGGGCTATCTCAGGCCCAGGAATTTGGTGGCTTAAACATCAGGATGCAGACAATAGTCTGCTGCACTTGGGAAAGAGCCGTGCTGACCGATGGCTGGAGCAGGCCAAGGAGGCTGAGTGGCTCTCAGCAGCAGACTTGGGCTCCCCCTTCTGCTTGGCTCTTGAGGACCCCACAGCCCCAGCCCCAGAGTCAGGGAGTAGGGTGGGGTGGGGTGAAAAGTAGAGGCCTGAAGCAAACCTCAATTTCCAAGTACACCCGAGTCGCCCCAACTCTGCAGCTGGAGGTCAGGCTGGGGACAAGGAGTCTGTGCCATCATCACTAGGCTCTCTCCCTCCCACCCTCCTCTGCCTTATGACCAGGGCCAGAGCTGCCAGAAATTGCAGGGCAGAGGAGACCCTGGCTCATACTTGGACCTCTGTTGTGTGGCTGGCCCAGGACTATCCATGCAGGGAGGCCTGCACCTCTGACAGTCGGTTACAGCTTGGGGTGCTCATCCTCTGTGCTTTGTGGTACATGTCTGTGTCGCCGAAGTAGCGGGCCCGATATAACAAGCCTTCCTCTGCAAAGCAATGGGGCAGGGTTAAGACATATCCGATACCTCCTGAAGCTTGCTAGGGCACTTGTCTGGCCTGTGGGGCAGGAGGAAGGCTGTTATAGGCCCAGGAGCTAGGGCAGATGACCTTTAGGAAGGACCCCGAAGGAGCAAAGACCATGATCCCAACTTGGGGTAGGGACAGTAGCCCCTTTCTATAGAGTAGGGGAGGGCCAGCTAAGGTAAGAACTGTCATCCTGGTCAGACCTCCCTAGGGTCCCACAGATAAAGCCAGATGTGCAATCAGTGGGTGCCCAGATCTGCTCCAGTCTCTGTGGACATAGGTGTCTCTGGCAGCCAAACAACAGGCTGACTGCAGTGACTTACAGGAACCTAGAGGGAATCTCCAGGTGGCCCCCAGCTCCTAGCTCCAGGGAAACAGGGGTGGAGCCCAGCTCTTGGCCAGGAGGTGGCTGGTGCAGGGCAGTGCCAGGTGCTGGGTCACAAATCACTGGGCAAGTAGGACTTTCTCCTTCCTTGTTCTCAAGCTTCGTGCCTCCAACACCTATACTCACTTTGCTGCTTCTCCTTCCAGCAGTTGTTTCGGAGGTTAGCGATATAATCATCTTCCACGTTCCGCTCAACTGTTTTCAGACTGGAGCCTGTGTACTCCTGAGAGAAGGTGTCTGCCACGTAGTAGATGACGTTCAGATGGTCAGTGACTCGCTTGTGAATGTGGCCCACCGATCTGGCCAGAAACATACCAGGCACAAAGTGGGCACAGGGCCCAGGCCCAGGGTAGCCCCAGGGATGACAAGGCCCCTGACGGGAGGTGCCACACAGGCCCCAGGAGTAGCTGCCGCCCTCCCGAACCAGAGCGGAAACTTGCACCGCACCCGGAGCGAGGGCCTGAAGAAAAGCAGGGTGTCCCTGCTCTACGAGAGGCCCGGGCTACGGCGAGCACTTCCTCAGGTTCTGTGCTTACTACACTGTGGACTCGGGGGCCCTGGGGAGAAGCCCCTTTCTAAGAGGCCCGGTGAGGGAAGCGGGAACCTGGTGTGAGTCTGGGCTTCCTCTCTGAAGAGCTGTGTGACGAGCTCCCTGTGCCTCTGCTTCCCTAAGACATCCCCTAAGCCAATCCTTGCCAAGGGCCTGCCTGCCTGCCTGCCTATCCAGGAGCTCCCAGTGTAGAGTTAAGAGGCTCAGGAACAAAATGACAGGAAAGATTCCAAAAAGTTGTATCTTTCCAGCTTTTGGATTCTAAATTCCAGCCCCAACCACAGGCTCACAGGCTGTGGGAAGAGCCTCAATACACAAACAGGAGTCAGGGCTCTGGGGAGGACAGTCCCTGCCTGCCCACCGCTGCCTGTCATCTCCAGCTGCAGAGAAAAGGGGTGCTATCAGGCCAGGACCACCTGTGCTGGCTGGTGTGGGCCCAGTGGACAGACTCTGCCCCCTGCTGGCTGACTGGGATGCTGCCAGGCTCCCAGCTAGAGCCAAGTCTCCAGGTAGGAGCAGAGGGCTTCAGGAACTGAGCACCCACTATCAGATACTGTCAGGTGATATAAATAAATCAGGGAGCTGACACCTTAAATGGTCAAATAACTTGCCCGAGTTCACTACTGGCAGTTGAGACCATATGTTCATTCAACAAACATTGTTTTTTTTTTTCTATTTATCTTTAGACAGAGTGGGAGGGAGGGAGAGAGAAACATCAACGTGAAGGGACACATCGATTGGTTGCCTCCCCCATGACCCCAATCAGGGCCAGAGATGAACCACAACCGAGGCACATGCCCTTGACCGGAATCGAACCCAAGACTCTTTGGTCAGCGGGCCAACGCTCTAACCACTGCGCAAAACTGGCCAGGGCAACAGACATTGTTGAGCATTTCCAGTGAGCTTTGGCACTTTGTGTTTTACTCACTTAATTTTCATAAGCAGGTAGATGTTGTTCCTATTTTATAGTTGAGGAAACCAAGGCTCAGAGAAGTTGTCCAGGGTCACACAACTGCTTAGTTAGTAGAGGAGCTGAAATTCAAAGCCACCCTTCTCTGTTCTTTCCATGGCCCTAGGGCCCTGCCCTGAACCATAAGAGCAGAGATTCTTATCTCAAGGTCATCCAATAAGACGGGGTGGGTGGGTCATGAAGCCTGTGAAATCAATTGTGTGTGTGTGCAGGGTTCTAAGAAAAATATCTGCAATTTTCATTGCATTTTCTTAGGGGACCATGACTCTAAACAGATCAAGAACTTCTGCTCAACATGGAAAGTGTATTTTCTTGATTCTAAACTAGCTTCCTGCATTATGATCAAGAATCTGCGGGATGGTGCCCTGCTGGTGTGGCTCAGTAGACTGAGCGTTGTCCCGTGGACTAAGGTCCCACGTGGATGCGCAGTTATGGCATATGTCCGGGTTGCGGACTCGATCCCCAGTAGGGGGTGTGCAGGAGGCAGCTGATTGATGTTTTTCACATCAGTGTTTCTATTTTTCTCTCTAAAAAATCAATAAAAACAAACAAACAAAAAAGAGTCCGCGGGATTGGCTGAAACTCCACAAGTCCCCATCTTCCCACCACCCGGGCCTCACCCCCAGCTACAGGTACTCACGGCCTCAGGCTCAGACTGTAGGGTGGACTGGAGACCATGAGCTGGCTGAGAGCTGACACGAGGATCAGGATGAGGATGGGCATCAGTTGGACAAATACCCCCAGCCCGCCCTGGAGGGAAGAGCCAATGGTCACCTAAGCCAGACCTGGGCTGGGGTGCAGGGTTGGCCACAGTCACCCCCAGTGTCCCCAGCACAGTGGAGCCCAGGTGTCAGGAGGCAGTTACCACACAAACAGGCCATGACATCACTCTCCCCTTTCCTCCTATAGTTCCCCCAAATACAGAAACCTGCCACCTTCCCCAGATAAAAACAAAACAGCAACTGGTGTTAAATACAGGAAGAAGGTGGGTATATGCACTTGTGAGAGAATATGACAAGAGGAGCCAAAGTGGCTGCCTCCAGGACAATGGGAGGCTGACCTGGAGGGAGACTTCACTACACAGACCTTTTGAATTTCAAACCATACGAATATATTACCAATTAAAAGTTGCCAGTTAAAAAACTATAAATAAAAATTAATGTGTTCAGCCCTGGCCGGTTTGGCTCAGTGGTTAGAGCGTTGGCCTGCGGTCCAGAGAGACCCGGGTTCGGTTCCCGCTAAGGGCATGTACCTCGGTTGCAGTTTGTCCCCGGCCCTGGTTGGTTGTGCGGGTGGCAGCCACTCGATGTGTCCCTTTCACATCGATGTTTCTCTCTCTCTCTCTCTTCCTCTCTCTCCCTCCCACTCTATCTGTACAAAAAATGGAAAAATGTCCTCGGGTGAGGAAAAAAATAAAAAAAATAAAAAATAAAAAATAAAAAAATAAATAAATGTGTTCATTGTGTGACAATTTCTAATTTAAAAACTATTCTGTATGATAAATATACACAAAATAAAAGTTTAAAAATAAATAAAAACATACGGCCACATTGTCAGAGCAAAAGGGAACCCTTCTGCCTGCCACAATTTTAAATGCTCTGCAACAGTATTTTCATTTTAGTTAGCTAGCTGTTCTTCCGGCATTCAAAATGGGCCTGAAGCACTGTCTTGCTGTACCTTTTGCATACATTTTTTGATGCTGAAAAGACAGGAGCCAGCACCTATAGTCATCCTTTACAGTTCTTCCGTGAAGTTTGGAAAATGTTGGCCTTATGAACAAATAAACTGCACAAAGGCTGTTCACACTCAAAGCTTTCTGTAGGTGGGAAACATTCTGCATTACATTCCCAGAGGCCATCAAATCCCCACTCATCCGGTGGGCAATGTGGAGTGTGGCTCCCTCTGGTGTCGCTCAGCAGAATGTCAAGGGAGGCCCAAGATGGCTCCTAAGCTGAGTTGTGGGAACACTGCCATCCCAGAATAGACAGCTGGCATGTCACTACCCCTTCCAGCCTCACACCCTGTGGTGAGGTCCTCCCCGCCTCTCCCCAGCACCCTCCTCACTCACGTCACCCTGGTTCTCCCTGCGGTCCTGCCTTTGCTGGTAGTTATAGCGCATACGGCCGTTGCTGTAGACATGGACGTTACCTGGGGGTCAAAGGGGCTGAATCAGGAGTGGGGCTTGGAAAGGGAGAGATGGCATCCAGTCTCCCACCATCGTCCTGGTGAGACCTGGCTGTGGGGAGGGTGGAGGAACTTACTAGATGGGAAGCCACCTCCAAAGAACATGTTGAAAAGGTCTTCAGGGGAGATGTCAGCCTCAAAGCCACGGTGGAAGTCCCCATGCCCATGGCCGTGCCGGGCTGCCGGGCTCTTGTCATCACCAAACTGGTCATACTGCTTCCTTTTCTCTGGGTTGCTAAGTACTGCATATGCCGTGCCAATGGCTAGAAAGGAGGTAGAAAGGTCAGGCCTGGGGATGCTGGGGGTGTGGGTGACATGGCCCATGGCAGCCAGCGGCTCACTTCCTTTAGGTACTTAGGTGGTGCTTAGGAAGCAGGAGTCCTTGGGGCCAGTGGGAGGCTCAGCTACTGGACAACTGTGGGAGGGGGCATGCAGGAGTACCTCTAAGTGGATCTGGGCAGTCTGGGCTGCGTAGGGAATTAAATTCAGGCGCCTCGCTCTTCACCTCATGATGAGAGTCCAACTTTTTTTACACACCAGGCCCTTCATGGGCTTTATCTTAGTTACTCTTAGCAGCAACCCTATCTCCATTTCACCGACAGGAAAATAGGCTCAGGGAGGTTAGGTAAGCTCCTAGAGCTCTGATACCGGAGCCAGGCGTTTGCTTCGAGTCTGCTCTCCGTCTTTATGAGAATCATCAAACCTCTCCCCCCATTCCTCTCTCTTGAGGGGTGCAGTGGATGGGGCATTTCTTTCTGGAGGTTATGCATCTTGAAGTCACAGTGCGCCAATTAGACACACGGTGTCCTGCTGTAAACTGGCAGCAGCAGGAGCTGCAGGGGAAGGCGAAAGGCTAACTCCCTGGTCTGGTCGCGGTTCCTCCACTGCTGCTTGTGTGGCCTGGGCGAGGAGCCCTGTTTTCCCTGGGGTCTAGGTCCCAGTTGCCATTCTTCTGCCTGGCACTGGGGCCTCCCCAGTAGAGCTCCCCAGATGGGAAGGCTGGGTGCCAAAAGACCCCAGCTCAGACCCTCCTGAGTCTCTTGCTCTTTCTCAGGTGGCCCACTCGCTCAGGAATGAGGCAGAGCTGCGTCTGCTTCAGAACCTGCAGCCTGAGAATAAGGAGAAAGCCCCTCCTTCTCCCACCCAATAAGGCCTGATGGGCCTCTCAGTGCCTGTCCGGTAGGCTGCAGGCAGAGGCCAGGGCTAGAGAAACATTAACCACAGCCACCTTGCTTCCCTGCTCCCATTCTCCTTCATCCTCTGGGCTGACAGGCAGCAGGGGACAATGCCTGCAGACTGTCCCATGCAGGACCAGCCCCAAGGAGCACCTGTGGTAGGCTCCAGAGATAGCACAGCCAGGATCCCCACCTGACTATGGCCACAGCCCCAGGACTGTGCAGCACCCTGCCTGGCCAGGCGAGGCGAGTCACCATGCTATCTCCCCAAGGGAGGTGAGCCAAAGATCCTGAAGGTCCCAAGGAAGACAAGGTGGGCATGAGAGATGTCTGGGGGATGTGGAACTGCGGTGCCCAGTAACACAGTGCTGGCAGAGTCTGTACATGTGTGCAAGTTCAATGAAAATCTAACTGATTAAAGAGCAGCTAATGAGCCTGGCTGGTGTGGTTCAGCGGCTGAGCATCGACCCCTGCACCAGGAGGTCACCAGTTCCATTCCTGGTCGGGGCACATGCCCAGGCTGTGAGCCCAACCTCCAGTGGGGGGCATGCAGAAGGCGGCCAATTGATGTTCTCTCTCATCCGTATTTCTACCTGTCTCTCCCTCTTCCTTCCTCTCTCTCTAAAAAGTAATAAAGGAAAATAAAATTCTTGATAAAATAAAAAAGAGCAGCTGATGATTTCGGCCAGAATGGAACCAACAAGCCGAGGCCAGAGAGACAGCTATGCGCACTCCTGCAGAACGTGTGCACGGGGTTGGGGTGGGCTGGCTATGGCTGCTGGTGCTGAGGTCACCAGGCCGGGGCCCTCGGCATGGGGCTGTCCAGCTTCTCAGCACAGGAAACCATTATGGAGATCCCACGACAGGGGACTGCAAACAGGTGAGTCAGGAAGGACAGCTTCTGCCCCTTAATCACCATACGACCAGGAGAAGCCACCAGTCCTCTGTCTCCTCAGGCCCCTCCTCTAACCCCCAGGGAACGGGGAGGAAGGGAGGCAGGACGGTGCGATCTGACTGAGAGTCTGCGTGGCTAGAGGTGGCTACTAGGACCTTCGCCAGGAAGCAGCTCCTGGGCCGGTAGGACTTGGGTCCAAGGCTGCTTCCTGGAAAAGCCCCTTTCCCCTTCCAAGGACCACAGACAAAAACACCAACACCGCCCTGGCTGGTCTGGCTCAGAGGTTAGAGCGTCGGCCCACTGACCAAAGAGTCTCAGGTTCGATTCCGGTCAAGGGCACGTACCTTGGTTGCGGTTCGTCCTCGGCCCTGGTCAGAGTTGTGTGGGGGACAACCAGTTGATGTGTCTCTCACACTGATGTTTCTCTCTCTCTCCCTCCCTCCCTCCCTCCCTCCCACTCTATCTAAAGATAATAGAAAAATGTCATCGGGTGAAGATTTAAAAAACAGACAAACAGACACACAAGCGCCACACCGGGGACCAGGGCTGGCTCACCCTTGAAAGCCTCAGTGGCACCAGGCGCGTGGTTCTTGTCCGGGTGGAATCTGAGGGCTAGCTTGCGGTAGGCCTTCTTCAGGTCCTCATCGGAGGCCCCCCTGCTCACTCCCAGGATCTCGTAGTAATCTTTACACTGCTTGACCCTGGGGGAGGGAGAAGAGCATGGTGGGGGGCTCTACATGGGCCAGGGCTGTGTGGTGAGGTGGGCGAGGAACAAGCAGTGTGAGCACACAGTTCTGAGTGGGCTTCGGGGCACACGCTGTCAGACTCTGCAGGCAAGGGAGCTTCAGAAAGCTCCCACTGGGATGGGGACCTGGGCAGGGCCTAGAGGAAACACCAACATTACATTTAGGGTTTAAGAGGGGGCAGCTGTCGTGTTTGCCAGACCAGGAAACACTTCCCTTTGCTAAGAGCACCCTCACAAAAACTGTCCATCAGGGCCTCTGCCCAAGGGTAGGTGTGTCCCAAGCTTGGCCAGCTGACTCCTCTCCCTGCAATTTCGGTCGTGAGTGGGCAACATAAAGGCCATAGCAGGTGTCTATTCACCCCATCTCGGGTCCTGAAGAGAACCCAATTCTTGAACTTCTCCAGGCATCCCTAACTCCCCACAATCAGTTTCTATTGCCCACAACTGATAGACTTATCTGGTCAAAACTCGTCTGGTCAGAAAAATGTAAATCTGGCATACATTTTTACAACAAACTATAATCATGCTAGGTCACATGCAGGCTGAATGAACTGCAGTCCTAAAGTTTGCTGATGTTTTTACTATCAGCCAGAACCATGTGGGGATGACCTCCGAGGGGTCCCAAGGCCAGCTAGCAGGGAGGCCTGGGGGAAACGAGCACCCGAGAAGCCTTGGCCTGGCCATCTCGGCCTGGTAGCGAGCTGCTCCGAGCAGGGCCTGCCCAAGCTTTGGAGGGGTAACCATCTCCTGTTTCCTCTCTCCCCACATAGGCTCTGGTCTGACAGGATCTTTGTTGGGGGTGGGGCTGTGGGTTGGGGGAGAATCTGAGGGGAGAGACCAGGGCTCATCGCTATGGAACAAATGGAGCTGTGTAAAGAGGCCAGGCCTGCCTGGCCAGCAGCAGAGGTGGTGGTGGTGTCAGCATTTCCAGTCTCTGCTGTGGGTTGTCTTGGCGGGAGGGGACAGCGGGGCCCTGATTCCCACACTACAGTCCAGGGCCTTGTGGGAAATAAGGAGTGGCCTGGTGAGCCTGACCACTTGGACCTCCTCCATCTTCAGGACCCTCCCAGGGCCCATCCAGACCACAGGCAGATGTGAGGTGGAGGACGCACCACAGGAAGACTTCTCTAGACTTGAAAACTTCCCACCACCTCCAGGCCCCCGCACCTGCCCGCCAGGCCAGCCTTCTACCTTTTCACAGCTGCTACTTGTTCCGAAGTGTAGCCTTTGGTGGTCTCTCCTCCTCCTCCAGCTTCACCGTTGGCCGAGGGGGCGTCGGACCCACCTGCTTTCCTGTGGGTGGCATGGGCTGTGCCTGTGGGCTGGGCTTGGTCACCAGCAGACTGTGGTTTCTGGTTGAGGGACTCGATCAGGGCTGTGCAGAGCAAGACAACCATTCAGGGCTCCTGCTCCAGCAAAGCCATGTCATGGCTGAGGGGCCATCTGGCCCTGGGAGAGGCCAGAGCCCCACACATCCCACTGGCTTATTCTCCTGGCAAAGCCACTACCTTCTTTTTTTTTTATTTTAATTTTTTCTCTTTATTGATTTTCGAGAGAGAGGAAGGGAGAGGGAGAGAAAGAGAGAGAAACATCGATGAGAGAGAACATCGACTGGCTGCCTCCTGCATGCCCCCCACTGGGGACTTGGCCCACAAGCTGGGCATGTGAACCGGTGACCTCTTGGTACATGGGTCGATGCTCAACCACTGAGCTACACTGGCCAGCAAAGCCACTACCCTCTTGCTTGACTTGAGCCTGTGGGGCGCTAGTGGGGTGGTCACTTGCTCTCTTAGGATCCATAGTCCTCAGGAGTCAGCAGGATACACAAAGGCCATTTATTTTTTTATTGATTTTTATTTTTTTAGAGAGAGAGGAAGAAAGAGAGAGATAGAAACATCGATGTGAGAAACATCAATCGGCTACCTCCTGCACGCCCCCCACTGGGGAGCGAGCTTGCAACCCGGGCATGTGCTCTGACCAGGAAATCAAACCAGGATCTCTCAGTCCATGGGACAACATTCAATCCAGAGCCACACTGGCTGGGCCACATAGGTCATTTTAAACTAAGCATCAAAACAAACTAATTTTTTTCTTTTTTCCTATTCCCCAAAATAAACTATTAATGCTTCAGATTTTCTAGATCCCAAAGTAAAATGTTCAGCAGCCATCCTCTGTTAAGAGCCGAGACGGGTGAAGCACTTTGCAATGGTACCCCACTTTGCAATGGTACCCCATTTTGCAGGACATCTGATCTCTCTGGGACTGGTCAGGAAGGCTTCCTGGAGGCCTCTGCTTAGCCATGAGGAGGAATGGGGGCAATGAGTCTGCCCTGGAGGGGTGGTGGTGGCGTGAGGCTCAGGATAAATATTTGCTGTGCTCACTACTTGCTATTTTTTACATTTTTCAAATGGCTGGCCATGTCCATTGTGCTACTTCAAATGTTCAGAGTCTATACATAGCATTAGCTGTCTCCCTCAGACAGGGTCATGGTTATTCATTCAAGGCCTTGGTTCCTGCTGACTCCATAAGGGCAAGCTCAAATCTCTGGCAGAGGTCCCCTGTGCGCATTTATTTCAGGCACAAAACCAGTTCTGAACCTCCAGTCACGTCCGGGCTACAGTGTCCTGGGAAACCAGGCATCCGGACCACTGCAGGGACCCAGGACACCTCTGTGCTGAGGAAGGACACCAGCACAGCCCACTGTTCCCCAGATTCTTAAAACATGCCAGGGACTTGCTGGGCTCAAGGCACTGTGCTGGGTGTCAGAAACCCTGTACTGCAGCACACCTGGGTCTCACTCAAGGGGCCTGGAGCAGCGCTTGCTGGGAGCAGAACACTGGGACTCAAGTGAACCAATGTGCCCTGAGCCACTGCTGCCTCAGTTGCAGCAAAGTCATGGACCTCACCAAGTCAGCAGCTGGGAAGCCCACACACGGGAGCTGACAACTGAGTCTGCACACGGGAGGGAGGTGGAGGGGTTCCTGAAGCAAACCCTGAGCGAGCACTCAGAGGAGCAACAGCAATGAGTGCTCACGGTCGAGCAGGCCCAGACACAGCCCTCTGCATGTGTTAGCTCTTCCAGTCTTCACAACGGCCTCAAAGGCAGGTCTTACTACCACCATCCCCGTGACAAGGGGGGGCTGTGCATTTGGTTGGCCAGCCTGTGGCTGCACAAGCTGGGTAGGCAGCACCTGAACCCCAGGATATCCAGCTCATGAGACCCTGCTTTTCACTATGCTCTTATCCCAGACCACATACCTGGCAGGGGGAGCCCCTTCTAATAGTCATTCCAAGTACAGAAGAGAAGTTAAATTCAGAAAGAGCCGGGTCTCAAACCTCAGCTCAGCTAAATCCTAACAGTATGACCCTGGTCAAACGGGGAGACCCCTCTGAGTCTGTTTCCTCACAATGGGGGTATGACGACGAAATAAGATAATGTGCGTAAGCACCTAGCAAGGGAATGACATAGAGTAAAAGTTCAAAATGAGGAGCTGCTGATAATTATGACCTGGGCTGATGAACTAGTTGGCCAGAGGGGTGAGGGGACCCGAGATGGCAGGGACTGCGGAGCTCTAAGGCTCGGGAAGGCCAAGCTGCAGCACACGGCAGGCTTTGGACCCCGTTGTGACCATGCCATTTCAGGTTGTCCCAGATGCCAGGTCCATGCCAGGCATCAATGGAATTGCAAAGCAGGAGACCAACAGATGAAGAGATGCTGATCAAGATGGACAGAGGGGGGGAAGCTTGGTTTTCTAGTTGTTGTTTTTAGGGCTTTTAAAGAAGTTGCTTATTTTGATTTCTTGGAAAGCCCTAGTGTCCAGGCTGAGCTGATTTACCCTAAGGACAACATGACCAACCATTCAGTTGTCACAGAGCATCAGCCAGGAGATGGGACAGACTCTCTCCGGTACCTCTCAGGGAAGATTCTGGAAGCTTTCCAGGGCAGTCACACAGAATCAGACACTCTAATTTCCCTTTGCTGCAGAAAGGGAGCCCAAAGGGAAACAGATGTGCTCTGGGTAGACAGAAGGTTCCTGCTTGGGTTGATAACGAAAGATTTCTGGTTGCTGACAAGTAGGCCGCTCTTGTGGTCCGGACACCTCCTCCCTCAGGCCTGTGGGACGTGACTGGCTCATCCTGACTCGCAGTTACATCCCTCACTGGCACAGTGGCTGACAGGCAAAGGTCACAAAAGAGTAGTAGATAGAATAGCTTAATACGACTCGAGTTAGATGGACGTGGCTGGTTCAAATCCCGATTCTGCCCCTTTCCAGCAAAGCTGGCAGACACTGAAAAAGGAAGAAACTGGAAGAAGAAACCGAAGCTGGGGTGGGAGAGGTGGCAGCTGAGGTAGAGGTGACAGAGGTGGAAGCACTTCTATCACCAAAGCCACAGGGGTGGCCTCACCTCACCCCCTGGCCGCAGAGGCAGGCAGCCTGGGTTCAAACCTAGCCACTGCTTGCAAGGTCATCTTGGACAAGTTAACTCAGCTCCTCTGGGTAAAACTGTACCTCCCTTGAGAGAGCTGGAGGAGTAAATGAGTAAATGCATATAAGGAACTTAGCACAACTTCCAGCAAATATAAAGTGGTATCTGTTACTTTTATTTCCAGGCTCCTCTATGTACCTGTAGTGTTCAAAGCAAGGCGGGAAAGGGAAGCTAGAGTAGGGAGAGTCTCGGAGTGGAGCTAGACAGTCCGGTTCTTTTGCTAATTATCATGTAGACTTGTCAAGTTATCTAATTCCTCAGTGAAGATATGATCTCTGCCTTCACAGGGTTGCTCTTAGGGGTACAAAAGACCTAGTGATATCAGGTGAATAGAAGGGCTGAGCACAAAGTGAGGTTCATGAAGGCTGAATGACCTGAATGGACAATCCCACTCTAGACCTTGCCAGTATTAGAACATCTCTCGGTCCTAGACTCTGAATGCCAAATCTCTTGACAACAAACCTCCCCTCTCCCTGCTCTGGCCTTCCCACCTTGCTTTCCTGACTTGGCCTGGACCCAGGCATCTCACAGAAGTTCAGGCAGCCTGTGCTGCAAGGTTATTCAGGCCAACCCTCTCTCTGCATGCTGGGGAAACTGAGGCTTACAGCTGTTCTCATCAGTTCCTGGAAAACCTGGTACCTTTCACCATGGTTGCTAAGCCTCAGGCAAAGCCAATGTCTACTAGGCTGCCAGGCACTGGACAGAAACTCCCAGAAAGGGACTGACGAGCTCCACCAGCCCTGCCCTGTGGCATCCCGGCTTAGGGCCCGGCCACTGCTCCACAGTATGACTGTCCTACCCTTGGTGCTTCCCCGTCCCACTTCCTGCAGAGTTTCAAGTCTCCTCATATCTTTTGTTTTATTTTTTCTAAATCCTCACTTGAGGATAAGTTTTTCCGTACTGCAGGCCGATGCTCTAACCGCTGAGCCAAACCGGCCAGGGCGAGGATAAGTTTTTAATAACTTGAGAGGGAGAGGGAGAAGGAGAGAGAGAAACATCAATGGGTTGCCTACTGAGCCCTGATGGGGGATCAAACCCACAATGGGTATGTGCCCTGACTGGGAATTGAACCCAAGACCCTTTGGTTCTAGGGATGATTTCCAACTAACTGAACCCCAATGGCCAAGGCCCCTCATATCTTTTCACTGTGAGGTCCTCTGACCCTTCAAGACGGCTCCGAGCTTCCTCACCCCAACCCTTCCCTCTGTCTGTCCTTCCACTACTCCTTCCATGCTCTTGAACCTCCCCTTTCATTTCTCAACTTGCCCTTTTCCCACGTGGCCTCTGCAGCAAGGACAGTACAGCTCACCACCTCCTTGACACACTGCTCCATGGCTACCTGGCAGCTGCTCTCTCCCGGGACCGCCTCTTCCTGTTGCTGCTCCATCTCACTCTATGGCAAAGGGTGTGCCAGCAGCAGCCTCCTCTACATGGTTCCACACTTTCCTACAGTGACTCGGCCAGGCACAACCCCAATGAGCCCCATCACACTGAGACCAGACTTTCAGCTGGAACCTGAAGCTCTTGCTCCTGAGCTCTAAGCTGATAGCTCCTTTGTTTTGTTATATTTTAATTTTTTTTCTTTATTGATTTTAGAAAGGAAGGGAGAGGGAGAGAGAAATAGAAACATCAATGACAGAGAACATCAACTGGCTGCCACTTGCATGCCCCCAATTGGGGATTTGGCCCACAACTGGGAATCAAACAGGCGACCTCTTGGTGCATGGGTTGACACTCAACCACTGAGCCACACCGGCGGGGCTGACGGTTCCTTTGGAACAACCCACCAGCACCAGCCCACCAGCCCACCAGCACCTTGCACTCTGCCTACCTCTTTCCATTCATGCTCCTTGGCTTTGCTGTCTTCCCAGTCACAGAGGCTTGGATCTGAATGCCCATTTCTCCTTAGCATCCCTCTCTCACACAAGGCTCGTTAGCTCCCTCCAGTGGCCTCTATCTCAGGTCCTCAGAGCTCTTCACCTACTCAGTGCAACTGTCTCCCAACTACTTTCTGCCTTTAGTCTCTCTTTCCTCTTATTAACACTTCATACTGTTCTCTCTTAAGAAAAACACCCCTCTCTTCTTCCTGCCATCTAAAACTTCAATGGTTCTTTCATTAATTACAGAATAATGTGAATATTCTGGTTGGCAGGACAGGATTTCCACAATCTGGTCCCATTCTACTTTCTAAACTTAATCTTCTCTATACTCAAATGACCATCTCCACAGCCTCCAGATCTTGCTCTACTCAGCCTCTTCCTCTAAACCTTACACTTCCAGCCTCCATGACTTTCTTCCAGTATGCTCTTCTCCAAGTCTCCTACCCTCCTCCAAAGTACAGTTCAAACACTGCCTCCCTGAACTCTTTCCTCACTGTGATCTACCATTATTTTTATGTGCTCACTACAGCACTCACTATGCTGCTTGTAATTTAATGTTCAGGAGAGGGTCTTCCACACTCCTCACCCCCAGGACTTCCCTCCACCTCACCAGACTGTGGACCCAGGGAAGGCAGGGACTGGATTTTTCATGTCTATCCTTAAGACCTCAGCATCTGATACTGTATTTTTGTTTAATCACAGTTACTGTTTTATGGCTTATAACATTATCTTTTCTGTAATCTGCCTCCTTCATTAGATTGTAAGCTCCCGGAGGCAATGGATTATGTCTTACCAATTCTGCTGTACAATTTAGCATCAAGCAGAGGACTTTTCAAACAAAACAAAAATGTCGGCTACACTGAATGAGCAATTGGAATGAGTTCAAACCTCACATATCGAGCGTGGACAATACTACCCAGTATTTTTCTAACCAAGATTTCCCCATCAGAGCCACAATTAACCCCAGGTCCTTGTCAGCTCAGCACACAGGGCCATAGATGGCACAAGATGGTGTTTACAGAGAAGCATGAAGCCTATACTCTTTCCAGAATATCATAAATATTACAAATATGCAGCAGGTGACTCTTCTGTCTGAGCCAGTTCCAGCACTACAGCCGAGGAAGGACATCCATCAAAGCCCCTGTACCAGGAGGCCTGCTGACAGGAAGATCTCCACAAGCTATACTGTTACCATCCATTCCTGGCTGCCTGCTCCTGAGCCGCCAGAGGCATCAGTCAGAGAATTCCAAGAGCTGGGATAAGAATTTTGAGAGCTGGAGGGCCCCCACCCTACCCTGGGTTCCTCTTATACAGAGTGATTTATTTCATAGAGAAGTTCCTCAAGTGTTACCTCAGCAGTCCTAGCAAATAGGGCAAAAGATCGAAATGCAGGCATCCAGCTGCCTCTTCTGCTAGTGTTCCCTTTCTCAATCTCATAATGTGGACAAGGACGATTAGGAGGCTGACCACTGCTTTCCAATTTCATTTTATTCCTTTAGTAAATATTTATCGTCACAGACCTTTCCAATTTCCAGCTGTGTAATATTGGGCAAGTCCCTTGCCTCTGAGATATGTCTTCATCTACAGAAGAAAAATAATGATCTTTGCTCTGCCTCCCTGATAGGCAAGCTCAAATGAGACAATGCATTCGAAAGAGCTTTCTAAACTGAAAAGCCCTATCAGTATTACTGTTATTCGTATTATCTGGCCATCCCTTTAATTTTCTAGCTAAGTAAACCCAACCTCAGAAAAATCACATGGTAGCAGTTAGGATGAGAACAAAACTCAGGTCTTCTGATTCTGAGTACTTATTATATGCCAGACGGTTTACTAAGTGGTAACTGCGGGCACAAACCCTGGATCTTTAATGGACTACCTCTTTCTCTCTTCCAGCTTGTATTAAGTAAAACTTCTTTGAAGACTTAGGTTCAAGAAAAAGAGGGTTCCTGGGTCCAGCGAGATGCTGAGTGGTTGAGGCAACCTTACTTTTCCCTCCCTGGTTTGGAAGGCTTCATTTAGTCCCGGGTCATATAGCAGGACAGCCTGCTGCTGTCCAGCCGTCCATATGGCCAGCCACTGATGCACTCTTGGGGCGAGGTGGCCGTGGTGGGGATGGCTGGGGCCAGCGTCTCCAAGACAGTCCACTCCGGATGTCACAAAGGAGTGAAGAGGCTCCAGGAGGGAGGGAGAAGTCCGGTCTCTGGGCAGACCGCCCAAGGTGGTGGTGTGGCATCTGGGGGAAGGGGTCGGAGGACTGGGGGCTGAGGGCCAGAAAAAGCCGGCTCTAGTTTTGGGAGGGTGGTCCCTGGCCTTCAGCCGGAAACCTGCAAGGGAGCAAGGCATGAAGACGCCGTTGCAGGCAGTCCGAAGCTCGGAAGTCTTTCTTCCCTCTGTAGAACCCATTCTCTCCATCAGAGTAGTTATGTTTATTAAACTATAGTATTTCCCAGGTCGGCAACTGGCCCCGGGCCACCGAATGGCCCCTTGGGAAAAGTAGTTCGATTTCGCTTTCAGGGAAGTTCCCTTCGCCCCGTCTGCCAGCCCCTCTTATTCCTGGGAACTTCACATTTCAGAGGGCTCGGCAAGTACCCGGAAAGCTGAAGTCGCGGCTGCCCCCGTCATCAGGTGTGCAGCATCCCGGAGAGGCGCGCGAGCGAAAGACTACACCTCCCAGCAGCCACCACGCGTCTCAGGGCGCAGGCGTAGCCGCGCCTCGCCACCCCTCCCCCTCCTCCAACTGCTCCCGTCGGTCCGTTCCCGTATTCCCCCCATTAGTTCTAATGTCCCCTCTGTCTCGCCGGCACCTCACACTCACTGCGAACTCGCGGCGTGGGGTACAGTCTCTGCGCCTTCTCCAGGAAGCGGAGCGCCCGGTCGGGCTGGTTACTCTGGATGGCCTTGAGGGCGATGCTAATACAGCGCTCGGCTTCATCCTTGTTGGATTCCATGGCGGAACCAGAGCGCGGAACCAGGGAGGGGGAGGCCGGGCGAGCGAAGGGCTGCGCCAGCGGCCGGCGCGTCGCTGGGCAGGCGGGCGCACAGTGATGACATAAACCTCCGCCCCTCCTTTCCCGAGATCTGAGCGAGGGCGGAAGCGCTACCGTACGTCTTCTAAGAGGGCGACATTTAAGAGAGGTGTTAAGGGCGAATGCCCACATTTCTGGAGGCCAGAGGGTTATTCTATTCAGAGGTCTTAATGTTGAGTGTGCTTGCACCTTTTGGTAGTAACTGTGCATTTGATACGAGGGTCATTTATTTATTCATTCAACAGGTGTTTATTGAGAACCCACTATTTGCTATGGCAGGTATACAGTGGTGAACAAAACACAGCCCCTCATGGAGCTTACAGTCTAGAGTGTGTAGGGGGGGTGGGTAGACAGAAATGCTATGAAGGAAAATGAAGGGATAGAGAAAAGAAGACAGTATTTTAAATGGCCCGATAAGAGACCGCTTCTCTCAGAAGCTGTTTTAATAGAAATCTGAATTCAGGAGAGAAAGCAGGTGCAGCATTCCAGATGTGACTACCTGGAGGAAGGGTGGTCCTGGTAGAAGGAAGAGAAAATGCAAAGGCTCTGAATCAGGAATTTGATTTGTTGAGTTACTACCAGATCAACAAGGAGAGGACACCATAGGGGGCATGAAGAATTTCACTATAGAGTGAAATTCAGTTCTATCGGGCTTTCATGCCTATCGTTCCAGCGAATGCAAGCTACCAAACCCGTTGGTCATTTCTCAATCCTTATATTGTTTGGCCTCTCAAGCAGGATTTGGTAAGAGGCACCTATTGGTGAGAATTAGGAGGCCACTGCTATAATCCAGGTAAGAATTAATGGTAATTTGGATAGGGAGATGATGGAGGTGGTGAGTAGTAGTCAAATTCTGGATATATTTTGAAGACATAATCAAAATGATTTTGCTGATGGATAGGATGTGGGATGTGAGGGAAAGAAATGAGTCAGAATGATTTCAAAGATTTTTGGCCTGAATAAGTGGAAGAACAGTTTCCATTTACCAAAACTGAGGGAAAACTGAGAGCAGCACCTTGGTAGGGAGAATATTAAATGTTTGATTTAGTTTGTGATGCCTTTTAGAATCAAGTGGAATTATACATATATGGTTTGGGGAAGAAGGTGGGGCTGGACATATAAATTTGGAAATTATCAGTATACATAAATGGTATTTAAAGCTATGGGACTAGATGGACAAAGGAAGTGAGTGTAGATAGAGAAAGTAGAAGTTTGATTACTGAGCCCTGTGGTACCCACTGTTTAGAGCAGGGTGGGGAATGTCTCGCCCTTCGGCCATATATGGCCCTTGAAATCAATACCAGCTAACATCACACACCTCACCAAATTAGTTTGACCAAATATAGCAGCTAATTTTTTTTAAATCCTCACCGGAGGATATTTTCCCATTGATTTTCAGATAGAGTGGGAGGGAGGAAGGGAGGGAGAGAGAGAGAGAGAGAGAGAGAGAGAGAGAGAGAGAGAGAGAGAGAGAGAAACATCAATGTGAGAGAGACACATCAATTGGTTGCTTTCCCCACAATCCCAACTAGGTGGGGGATCAAACCACAGCCAAGGTATGTGCCCTTGACTGGAATTGAATCTGAGAGTCTTTGGTCCTTGGGCTGACGCTCCAACTGCTGAGCCAAACTGGCTAGGGCACAGGCTGATTTTTAAGTTGATAATTTTGTATGACCCGTGAATGATGTTATAAATATTCAAATGACCCTTGGCAGAAAAAAGATTCCCCACCCCTGGTTTAGAAGTCTAGAAGAAGAGGAGAATCCAGGAAAGGAGAATGAAAAATCAGCTCTGCCAGGTAAGAAAATTAGTTATTTCAGAAGCCAGTGAAACAAATGTTTCAAGAGGGAGGGAGGGGTCAACTTTGGTAAACCATGAAGAGAGACCAAGCAATATGAGGACTAAGAAATGACCAATGGATTTGACAATGTGCAGGTCAGTGGTGACCTTGACAAGATTTCTCTCAGTGGAGGGTAGAGGTGAAAACCCTAAGGGAATGGATTCAGGAGTGAAGGAGAAATGGATTGGTAGTAGAGAGGAATGTGGGGAGGTTTTGTTTTGTTTTCTTTTTTGAAGATGGGATATATTATATAGCACTCTTTGATAGGAATTGAGTGGGAAAGAAATTTTGGTGATGCAGGAAAGAAAGGAGATAATTACAGGAGTAGACAGAGGTGGGGTCTGGGACACAAGTGAGAGGATGGTCTTAGCTGCGTGGACAACTCATTGATTTTCAGGAGGGAAGAGAGTTTGAATGGGTGCTTGCAGGCCAGCTGCTAAGTTTGGAAGTGAGAACATGAGGACGTTCTTTTCGGATAGTTTTTATTTTCTGTGTAATAAGAAGCAAGGCTGTTACCTCGTTGGCTACACATGCTACTCCTTGGAAATATCTTTACATCTAACCTTCCTTCGCATTCCCACTGTTCCCTTCCCAGTGCAAACTCTTTTGACTCCAGGCTGGCCTGACACAGTATCCTGATGGTGAGGAATCAGCCCCTCCTTAACGAGAGAGGCTTACACTTAAGTTAAGCTCTCAAAAATTGATAGGTCCTTAATGAACAAACACTGGGACTGCTTTCAGACAGTGTCTCTGAGTTTTGCTGACTTAGAACTGCATAGATCACCATCCTCTTTCCTGCTGTTGAGATAAGAAATGTCAAAAACTGTAGAGGATTTTTATGAGTTTATTTGAGCCAAACTGATAACATTGCCGGGAACCAAGATCTCCAATAGTCTGGAGAAGGACAATATTGCAGTTTCTTTTATGAATTTGGAATTAAGGAGAGGACATAAGGAAGATTATATGAAGGTGGGAGAAAGCAAGGCAGGGATTAGGTTACAGGATAGTAACAAGATTATGTGCTCTCCTGAGGGTGGTTAACTTCCTAGAAGTCTGAAAAAGAGGCATATTAAAGGTGTATAAATCTAGGTGCACAAAAGCAATGGACAGGGCTTGCTTAAAGCAAAGATAGCCTCTTACTGTGGAAGTTCGAGGCCTGAGTTGTGACCACCTGCCATGACCTGCCTAACTAGGAATTTATGATCAGATCCCTCTGAGAGGTTTCTTCAGTTAGATTTATTACAGTCCCCCTTTTTCATCTACACTGCTAAGTATCACGTGGTCTCCTCTTCCATTTTCGGAGAGTGATGAGGCCCTCTTCTCTGGCTGACTACAGGTACTTACTTTACTTTGTGAAGAAGGCACTTGTGTAAAGGAGGCCTGCAATTTCGTTGTGTTAAGGAATTGGACTAGGATTGTCCAGCTGCTGGCTGGTGAGCCCTCCTTTTCTCTGAATGCATATAAATGACAAAATCTTATTTAAATTTGAGTCTGTAGTTAGTAACTTGACTTGGTTGGCAGGGTCTGGAGCACTGTCGATCTGGAGAGGCAGGACTTCTTTATGCCTGTTTTCGCCTCCCTCCCCTCAGCTGCTGAACTGTTTCAATTCAGAAAGGCTTTGTTGTTTCAGAAGGGATTGTAAAGCTGCTCTGACCAACCTCCATGTTTTCACTCCCACCTTCCTTTCCTTTCCTCTCCCCTCCCCCTCCCCTCTCCTCCCCTCCCCTTCTAATCCTCACCCAAGGATATGTTTATTGATTTTAGAGAGAGAGGAAGGGAGAGATAGAGAAACAATGGTATGAGAGAAACATCGATTATCAGTTGACTCCATGTATGCCCTGACTAGGAATTGAGTGGAAGGGAAGGAGGGGGAGCGAGAGAGAAACATCAGTGTGAGAGAGACACATCCATTGGTTGCCTCCTGCACAACCCCGTCCAGGGTGGGGGATTGAACCTGTAACCTAGGTATGTGCCCTTGACCGGGGAAGTGAACCTAAGACTCTTTGATCCTTGGGCTGATACTCTAACTCAGTGGTTCTCAACTTTCCTAATGCCGTGAGCCTTTAACACAGTTCCTCATGTTGTATATGGGCATATGTGGGCATATCTGCATATGGGCGGACCCGCCTGGAGACGGATAGAGGAGCGGTGTCTCGGTTCCTAAGACCATTGGAAATAATATGTTTTGCGATGGTTTTAGGCGACCCCTGTGAAAAGGTTGTTTGACCCCCAGAGGCTTCGAGACCCACAGGTTGAGAACCGCTGCTCTAACTACTGAGCAAAACTGACCAGGGCTCAGGGATATTTTTATCTTTTTAATTGATTTTAGAGAGGGAGGGAGAGAAACATCGATGTCATCAATCGGTTGCCTCCTGCATGTGCCTTGACCCGGGATGGAACCTGCAACCTGGGTATGTGCGCTGACCAGAACTGAACCTACTACCTTTTTGGTGTACCGGACGGTGCTCCAACTAACAGTCACACTGGCCAGGGAGAGATGTCATGATTTTGATCTAAGGGAAAAATTGGAAACTTCTAATTTGACTAGCTGGAGTCATGATACTTGTGGGAGGATGAGGTTCAAAAAGAGACAAAATCCTTAATTGCCTCTACGGGTACCCAGGAGAAGACCCTGGGAAAAGGAATCTTCACCTGAAACTCAGCATCTCCTCTTGCTCCTAGAGCTGAAACCACTCTTGAATTAAGTGACCACCAGCCTCCAGATTTCTTTCTTCTGGAGACACCAAGAATTCATAGTCTCACCTTAACATGCTTTAATCTTCTGTTGTCTCTTACCCATCTCTACTAAGACAATTCACCCCACCCCCATCTATTTGCTTGCCTCCTTAATTATCTTGTCCATCTATGCAAGTCTAACTTGTTCTTCAGCGCTCAGTTGACACTGTCTTCCCTGTGAAGAGGCAGAATTCATTCAGTAGTCTGTCCCGAAAGCTGGCCCTGTGCAGAGCGTTAGGGATTCACAAGAGAGGACAACCTGGTATGAGGGAGCGCAGTCTGCAATGGGAGCTAGTGAGAGGATTGGAGGCACTGTGGTAAGCTCCAGGTGGATTGTGTTAACCAGAGGAGGCTCAGAAAAGGGAGCTGCTAGTTGCACGTGTAGGATGAGAAGGGCTCTGGGGATTTGACATCTGAGCCAGGGTCTGAGTCTGGGAAAGTGCCTCCTCCTCCGTGAGCGCTCCTTGCTTTGATGTCCCCATAGCAGCTTAAGCCTGGCTCCTCCCTGGACACCCACCTTCACTGCCCTGCACAGTGGGCACGCCTGTCTCCAGCTAAACCGAAATGGAGATCTTGCCTTCATGTTCCCTGTGGCTCAAGC